ATCAGCACTGGACTACAAACCACAAGGCCGGCAGTTCAAAACCCACCAGCTGCTCCTCAGAAACCCTATACATACAAGGTCACTATGAGTCGGCAGTGACTCGACGACACTCAACAAAAATGACACCAACTGCCTAGAATGATGCATATCACATAAAAATGGAGGCCAGAAAGAACCACCTCAATTTGAGATGCTAAAACATGAATGGTAATTTCTTTTCAACACTGTCAACAGGTAAGTTTGTGGAAAAAAAAAAAAAAAAGAATAAAGCAGATATTTCCTGGCACTGACTGATTACTCTTGTATTCAATATCTTATGCCAAACCCACAGCACTCTTAGTGTGGATAGTTACTTAATTTTAAGCCAATTAAATTGACAAGAGGCTTGAAAAATGACAGCCGTGAAAATGAGGGAAAAAAAAAAAGGCTATACTACATAAATCGTCAGCATGTGTACGGTAAGAACTGAACTACAAACCACAAGGCCAGCAGTTTGAGCTCACGAATTGCTTTGAAGGAGAAAGATGAGGCTTTCGGCTTCCACAAGGATTTAAAGCCTCAGAAACCCTATACAGGACTGCTATGAGTCAGAATCTTCTCAACGGCACACAACAATAATATAGGAGAACTTTATAGACTGAAGTGTTTGGAGAATGTTACAATGCAAGGCTGGTGGTTCAAACTCACCAGATGCTCTTCAGAAACCGACAGGGTCACTATGAGTCAGAACCAACTCGACGGCACTTACAACAACAGCTGTATTAAATTTTATTGCCACATCATGCAGTTATGACACCAGCCCCTCTTCAAATTCAACATGTTTAAAATAAAAACAAAGCCCTACCTAGCTTTTATTTCTAACCTCCATTACATGCAAACGTCACCCCTAGTCTCTGGATATTTTGCACTAAAATCCTGAGCCATCCCTGGTTCCTTTACCTCATTAGAGCTCCCAAACTATAGCCATTAAGTGAACAAATCTTAGTGATACTTTCATCAAAATCTCTTCTGTATCAAATCTTACCTTTCCACTCTCTTAGCCACACTAATTTGGGCCCTTTATTCAACTCTCTGATTAACCTCCTCCACTTGGCTTTCTTCCGCCAACTCAGATTGCTCATCATCCCACCTTGATTCTCGTAAAACTGAGCTTCAACCTTGTTTGCAAAGTACCCATATCTTTACTCAGGTTTTCAACAGTGTCTATAATCCAGCCTTAACACACTCTTGCAATATTATCTGCAGTAAACATACAGACTCTCCACATTAGTGAAACTGATCTACTTCCTAACTCCAAGCACAATTTCCTACCTTTAGGCCTTTGATTGAACTACTATTTATTTTGTCTTGGAAACTCTATGTCAAGTTATCATAAAGCAAAGAAACAAAGATGCCTGAAATACTGCCATCTTAAAAACCAACTTAAATTCCCACATCAAGTCTATCCCTCAAAACCCCCAGCTTCTTCCTTTTCTGAGATTTTAAAACATGTCACCACAAGCACATAGAGTCAGAAACAGTTCTCATCGCTACAATTTATTTCACATGGCAAACACAGAAATAAATTAATGTGTTAGTAAATGAAACAGAACACATAGTTAGAAGTAAGGTTAAGTGGTTACTTAAAGCGCAAGAGTTAAAAGTTAACAGAGGTAAATATTGTTATATCCACAGTCCTGTAATAAGAGTGATCCATTAGTAGACGTGTCCATGAACAAACACAAAAACTGAGTAAGTGTGGGAGGGAGAATATCCACAAGCACTTATATATGCTTGACAGAGCTATTTCTACCTGTGTATTTACCTGTGCTGCAAACACATTATTGTGGTGGAGTATACAGAGAGCAAAGTTGTAAAAAACTTCTTAGATAAAACATAACACCTTAAGGGAATGAGTTACCACATCTGGGGGCTCAGGACCATAGTCTTGGGGGACACCAACATCAATTGGCATAAAAGAGTCGACAAAGATAATGTTTTATATTCTACTTTGGTGAGTAGCAACTGGGGTTTTAAAAGCTCATGAGTGGCCATTTGAGGTGCAACTGTTAGTCTCTCCCCATTTTCCCCAGTAAAAAATAGTTAAGAAAATCAAAGACAAATGGAAACAATTAGTCTAGTGGTCTAATGAAGCAAATGAACATCAGCATTTACAACTGTGAGACCAGAAGAACTAGACGGTACCCAGCTACCACTACTAACTGTTCTGATAAGAATCACAATGGAAGGCCCTGGAAAAAGTGGGGAGAAAAATGTGGAACAAAACTCCAAATCATAAGAAAAGACTAGGCTTACTGGTCAGATAGACTAGTCACCCTTCAGGGCTGGAACTGAAATCACCGTGGAGCTTTTCAACCAAACGATAGTCCTATACAGTAACTCTGGGGAGGTATGTCCTCCTTGTCAATCATTTCAGATCAAAAGGGCAGCATTTACCCATGGACAAAGTTCAGATGGTAGGAAAGAATAAGAATGGAAACAGGATATACAGGGAGGAAGTAAGAGAAGTGATACTATACTATAGGGGTTGTAATCAATGATACGAAAAAAATATGGATGAGGTGTTGAATGGAATGCAGATTTGTTCTATAAATCCTCACCCAATTCACAATAGAAAGGAAAAAAAAATCTATTGCTATACTTTAAAGAAAACTACCTTTCCAATAAAAAGAAAAGGTTTTCTTTTAAAAAGTTGCTAATTGCTCAGCAAATATTTGAGCGAAAATCCAAAGATACCTTTCAAAGTAAATTCACATATTTTTAACTATGCCATAAGATGTATTTTGATAGTTTTTACAAATGGTTCCTATTTCTGCAAAGATATATAAATGTGTCAAATGCCCTTACATGTGACAATGCTAAAAATATGTCAATAAAATAAAGCTTTAATCAAACATTATCTCTAGAGAGGAAACTACTTTCATCACCATAAGTATTACATCATCAGTTCCAGTTCCAGTATAGAAAGCATACTATATGACAGATAATCTCCATATTCAGCTCACTAAAGGTAGTATGTGCCTGGAGTACTGAAATACTAACATGTGTCTCAATAAGAAATATCAAGTGAAATTCACTTAGGGGAAAATGATCAGTTTTCATTGCTTGATGACAAGTTGGTTATGTGTATGAAAACACAAATGTAGATGAGTGAACTTTGATAGATTTTTTATTCCCCATCAGCAATAACACTGTGTGTTGAGTCGGACTTTATATTATATAAATGATACAAAGAAGTTAGAATTTGTAAAAAGAAAAAAAAAAGAATACTAGCATTCAAAAGCAGGGGAAAGAGAAAGTGAAAACAGTAAAACGGACATTTGTTGGTTGCCTCACTGGTGTCAATTCCTTCCCTCTCCCCCTTTTATAAATCTTTAGTTTGTATTAAGGATGAGGTGGTCTGAAATGACTCTAGGTACGGTTCCAGAGGTGGCACAAATTAATCAGTGGTCATAGTGATCAGGTCAAAGGTAAGAAATCTGACCTAAACCATGACCTGCCTCCTTAGATGTAAGCACATATGCTTAAAGGTCCAGCTGTACAAATTCCCTCAGTTGAGAGAGGAACCAGTCTTAGGATGATAACACCCCTCTCAAGACAGACTGAAGAGAAGAAATTGGGTCCCTGAAGCCATTACCGAGACGAAACAATGAATCTTGTCTAATCTAGTCCTACCTCTGGGCTTTTCAGTTATATGGGTCAGTACAGTCTCATTATCTCTGAGGTCAATTTGAGATTTTGTTTTTAGATACTTGCAAAGTTTTTTTTTAAAAAGATACTTTTGTTTAGAAACAAAAGAATCATAAAAGACACAGCAACAAATGTATATTGTTGGACAATGATTGCGGACATTTGCCATAGTTTTGTTGTTTTTTAATTTAGGGCAAGTCATTAAGATCAGTAATTGAAAAACTGCAAAGAAGCAGCGGTTTTCTTTTTTTAATAACTGTATGTACTCAAGAGGAGACTCATTGTGATGTTTCATTTTGAGTTTCAGGGAAGTAACATTTCTTACCTGGAGGTGCACTGTGTTTGTATTCTATCTTGTGCTGGGGATTCTTCCTAAAAAGACAAAACAAAGCAAAAATAAGATGCAGTATTCCAAACACTAAAAAGTAATAAGACCAAAAATCAGTCAGACTAACTAGCCAACAAGTAAAATTAGGTCCCTAAAGGCTTCTTATTGAAAAGCAGTTGCTTCTTAATGACACCATTTATGGAGTGCCCACTCCATGCCAGCACATTTCTGGATGCAAAGATAGAGTGGTGAGCAAGACAGAGTTCTTCCCTAGAGATAGGAAGCAAAAACAAAAAACAGCACATCAGCATATTGTTAAAATACAGTCTGCTGTATGTCTAAAACAGCGTACACCACAGACAGAGAGGAATAATATAAAAGAACAGACTCTGTATTATAAAATAGAGGATATATATGGTTAGCATCAAATGATACTAAGGTTTTTCTTGAAACCAAAAGAAAAAAAATAAGTCATATCAGTTCAAAGAACCACTTTTGTTATTGCCAGGAAAATTATAGCCAGGGAAGTAAACTTGCATTGAGAATTTACGTAATAATGTAACAGAAACTACTGTTTGAACAGCTATATTTGATTATACAAGGGAGTTTCAAATAGTCCATGTAAAACTAATTGAAAGTTAATGGAAAAATTGTTACTAGCTAGAGGGTAGGAATGCTAGCTTTGGTGATGGAGAAGAAAATATCCAACAAGAGGGAGGTTGGTGGATGAATGATGGCATTAGGGGAGGAGTACAAGGGTTAAAGGGCACAGAGGTAAATACAGCTATATACATAACGCTGCAATAACAATGATCTATGGGTAGATACATGGACAGATGCACAGACTGAAAAGGTATGGGAGGGAGAGTGGGAGTATACCCATAAACATATAAAGGTTTGACAGAGCATATTTGCACATGCTACAAACATATCCATGAATAAGTGAGGCATACAGGGGGCAAAGTTAAAACTTCTTAGACATTACCAAACAGCTTGCAGGAATGAGGTTCTGGACCTAGGGGCTCAGGACCACAGTCTCAGGAGACAAACAGTCAACTGCCCTAACAGTCCACAAAGAAATGTTCTACATTCTACTTTGGTGAGTAGCAAATGGGATCTTAAGAGTTCATGAGCTGCCATCTATGGTGCAGCTTCTGACCATTCCCTGTCTGGAGAAAAGAAGAGGGATGGAAATTGAAGACATATGGAAATAATTAGTCCAATAGACTAATAGACCATGGGAACGCAGTATCCATAACCCTGGGAAAAAAAGAACCACTACCAACAGCTCTGAAGGGATCACAATAAAAGGTCCTGGGTAGAATGGGAGAAAATGTGAAACTAAACTCACAATTATAAAAAAAATTTTTTTACACCCTCAAAATTATACTTGTCAGAAAGAGATGGAGGAACTTGAGACTATAGCTCTAAGTCACCCTTCAGGTCAAGAACTGGAATCAGTCTCTTGGCTCAATTTTCAGCCAAGCAGTTGTTATTGCTAAGTGCGATCAAGTTGGTTCCAACTCACAGCCACCCTGTATACGGTTTCTGAGGTGAGTTTGAACCACCAACCTTGCAGTTCAAACCAACCTTATGGTTCACTGGTTATTTTACAGTGCCACACCAGGACTCCATCTTAAAATAATGGCAAGAGAAATCAATATCCAAAAGGCAATCAAACATAAACCTTTTAAAAAACACTCAAGTTCACTCGTTTCTTCTCCCTTCAACTAACCCCATTCATATGCATATGGCCTTGGGCCTCTGGCAGGGTGGATCCAGTAGGCACTGGCTCCCTATCAGTCATCTAGTTCAACCAGAGTGACAACTGATTTAGGCAATTCCAGGAGTCCTGGTGCCGTGCTGTGGGTTAATGCACCAGAATGCAAAGCCCTTTGAACTGCAAGGTCAGTGGTTCAAACTCACCAGCTGCTCCTTGGAAACCCTATACAGGGTCGCTATAGGTCAGAACTGACTCGATGGCACTTAACAAGACGTTGTAGCTCTCCCCTCCGATGAAGTATTTTATCCCCTACATTCCTTTCCACTATTATAGGTAACAAAATCCAAACTAACCATCTAAAAAGCAAGTTTCACTTCCCATGCCCCTTTGTTCTTTCTCTTACAAAACCTCATACTTTCATGAGTCTGAATTCATTGCAATGAATCCTGTCCCTTATGCCAGCTGCTTAAACCAAGTAGGGATCATGCCTGGCTTCCTCTGACTCCACAAGGGGAAAACAAGACCAAACTCAAAATCAGCCCTAGGCTGATGCCTAGGAAGTGGAGGTCAGCCATGCCTCCAGTGCCTTTAAAAGCAGTTGTTATTGTTGTTAAATGCCATCAAGTCAGTTCCAATTCATAGCAACCCTATATAGGGTTTCCAAGAAGCCGATGGTGGGTTTGAAACGCTGACCTTGTGGTTCCCACTGATTTTTCAGTCCAGTGTTTATTCTACAGAGCCACATCAGGACTCATTATGGGGGAGAACAACATTGGTGAGGTATACTCACCATGGAAGTGTCAACTATACAAGATCAAAAGGGCAACATTACCTAAGGACAGAGTTGAGGCTGGATGGAAGGAGGGTGGACTGGAAATAAGAACCACAGGGAGGAAGTGGGATAACAGTTGTTACATGGAGGGGATTACAATCGCTGAGATGAAACGAAGTGTATGATTTGTTATATGTAAACTGATGATCTGCTTTGTAAACCTTCACTCAATTCATAATAATAAGTTAAAGGATAAATTAAAAGTTAAGAATGGGGAAAACAAAAACCAAAAACAATAAACAACCAGCCTTACTGGTCAGATAGAGAAGGGTGGAAACTCAAGATTACGGCCCTTGACCACCCTTCAGGTCTACAAATGAACTCACACCTGGGGCTCAATTGTCAGCAAAGTGACAGATACATAGGGCAGACAACTAGTGAGGTATACACACCATACAACTGTCAATCATTTGAGATCAAAAGGGCAGCAGTTACCTAATGGCAAAATTTAGGAGGGTAAGGAAAGGAAGAATGGAAACAAGAAATATAGGAAGGACCAAGGTGCCCCTGACCCAAGCCATGGTATTCTCATAGCCTCATATGCATGTGAAAGTTCGACAATGAATAAGGAAGCCTGAAGAAGAATAGATGTATCTGAATTATTGTGTTAGCAAATAATGACGGTACCATGGACTGACTACCAGAAGAACAAACAGATCTGTGTTGGAAGAAGAACAGCTGGAGTGCTCCTCAGAAGTCAGAATGGTGAGACTTTGTGGCTCGTATTTCGAACATATCAGGAGGGACCAGTTCCCGGAGAAGGATATCATGCTTTGTAAAAGAGTGGAAAAGAGGGAGACGCCAACAAGTGGACTGACACTGTGGCAGTAGCAGGACAGTAATGGTGAGGCTGGTGCAGGAGCGGGCAGTGTTTCGTTCTGTTGTGTAAAGGGTCACTATGTGTCCGAATTGACTCGATGTCACTTAACAACAACATTGAGGGGATTGAAAGAAACAGATGAAGTATAGGATTTGTTGGATGTAAAACTGATGCTGTGCTCTGTAAACCTTCACTCAATTCACAAGACTAAGTTAAAAATAATAATAATACAACAGAGAAGGGAAGTAGATGAGGTTATAGATAAAACAAGTCACATAGACAGATGATGGATACAGCAGGTTCACTATTCTGTCTACTTCTGTATATGTTAATTTTTTTTTAATTTAAAAATAAAAAAGAAAAGGGAGATCCTCTGTTCCCAGCCAAGATTACGATAAACTAATTAAGAAAAAAAGTCCTTCTCCTTATGAACTGATGGTGTTAAAAAAGTAGAAATTTTAGAGGTCTAAATGCTCTGGTAGC